CGTGTTCCAAGTACTGTCCTATACACATTTACATCCACAATCTCATTTAATCCTTGTAATCCTCACTGTTAGTGTTATTATCACCGTTTAGAGAAGAATTTTGAACAAGCCAAATAGTTATAGTGATACTTTAATGCTTATGTGGGACCTTTTATATCATAATTTTAAAGTATCTGCTGACTTTAGGAACTGTTCAGTTACATAAAAAAAATTATCATAATTTATCCCAACTATTGTAGAGTTGAGGATAAAAAGAAGGGTACTTCTGGTAATTCTTTTTTTTTAATGATTTATTTATTCACTCATACAGAACTGGGGTACAGGCCAGAGATGCGGTGGGTTAGAGGATTCACCAGAGACAGCAGGGAGCAGAACAGGTAGATCGACACTGCTGGAGCAGCGGGCGGGTCAGGAGAGGTCTGCCGCGCCATGTGGATCTCCTCCGAGGCATGAGGGGATTGAACTCATGCAGAAGTAGCTTAAGCTTCTTAGTGCTGTGCTTTACCCCGCTGTGCCACCAGGGAGGGCCCACTCCTGGTAATTCTTAACTGTTTATGCATATTAACTATGGGAAATATAGCGAAAGGGCATGAGAGATAAGTGCAATATAGAAATGTTCAGTAGAGGGGAGATTTTACGATGCTTAGATACAAGTGGTGCTGGAACAATTTGATAACCGTATGTAAAAAACATTTGAATCTTGACCTCATGCCACATAATTCAAATAGTTCATTAACTTAGTTGTAAAGCTTAAAAATATCAAACTGCTAGAACAGGAGAATTTCAATGAGTTTGGATTAGGCAAAGATTTTTTAGATATCACATTAAAGCATTTTAATAAGTAAGCCTTTCTCAAAATGTAAAATGTCTGCTATTTGCAAAACATAAAAAAGAATGAGAATAAGTTACAGACTTAGTTACATTTGCCAAATATATATTCGATAAAGAACCTGTACCTAGTATATCTAAAGAACCCTCAAAATGCAATTATAGAAAAAATAGAAAACTGGTTAATAGCGGCAAAATATTTAAAGAGACACCTTTACCAAAAAAGAGAAATAAATGGCAAACAGTACAAGGAAAGAGGAAATAGTCTCATTAACATAATTAGTCATTTAGAATATTTTCATTAAAATCACAATAACAAGGCCCTCCTGGTCGTGCAGCGGGTGAAAGCACAGCACTGAGAATCTAAAGCCGCTTCTGCATGAGTTCGATTCCTGCCTGCCCCGAAGGTGACCACATGGCGTGGCAGACCTCTCCTGACCCACCCGCTGCTCCCCTCAGCAGTGTACTTCGTCGATCTGCCTGCTCTGCTCCCCACTCTGTCTCTGGTGAAGCCTGTTACCGCCCCTGAGTCTCTGGCCTGTACCCCAGTTCTATATACACAAATAAATAAATCTTTGAAAAAAAAAAATCGCAATACCAATAACCATTAGGATGACTTTAAAAAAAGAAAGCTATCAACTGATAATACCAAGTACTTAAGGATATGGAGCATCTGGAACCCTGACTCATTGCTGGTGGGAATGCAAAATAGAACTAGTTTGAATAAGAATTTAATACCCTCTCATAAAGTTAAAACCTATATTTCCTAAGTAGCCAGTAATCCCATATCTAGATATTTAGTCAAAAATAAAACTTTCTTTTTGTAAACAAAAACTATGTATGAATATTTACAATGGCTTTCTTCATAATCTTAGCTCAAACTGGGAACAACTGTCAATTTGTTTGGTGAATGGATAAGCAAATGTGGTATATTCAAATATTGGAAAATTATTTATGAAGAAAAGGGGGTTACTAGTGTGTGTATGTAAAAATCAACATTATGCTAAGTCAAAGAAGCCAGATTGAACAGGCTATCTACAGTATAACTCTTATATAATATTGGAAGAGGTAAAACTATAATGATACAAAATGTTAAGGATTAAAGCTGGGTAGGGCAGGGGTTTTCTGTAAAGAGCTGACACAAAGGGCGTTTTGGGAGTGATAGTTATGAATTTGTTAAAATGCACAGAGCTATACAATTAAAAAAGGTAGATGTCATTTAAATATATTGTACTGTAATAAGCTTTATACCCTCTTCTCCAACCCCCTACCCACGCACCCACACACACACAGGAAAAAAAAATCCTGCCTGCTTAAGAGAAGTATAGACATTGCCACTCCAAAGTTGGCTTGGTCATTAGTGCCATCAAGAGCCAAAGTACCTTTTATTTTGTTGTTCTGATCAGATGCTTCTTAAGTCAGCTATATATCCAGTTATCTGCAGAGAAAGGAATATGCAAGGAGTGGAAAAGGGTCTAAAGCCTTGTTTTAGAACCTTTCCCAAAGGCTCATGCTACAATTCCATTTACACTGAATTGGTCAAAACAGTTTCCACATTCCATCACATGGAGCTTTAGGAAGGATGGAAAATGCATATTAACGAGAGGGTGATAGATATTAGATTGTGCAGTTGGTAGTGGTTGTTACTCTGCTGGTGGTTTCTAGCATCATTAATACTAAAGTTTAATCTCTTGGCTACCCAGTAGGTCGCCGTAAATCCTTGGAGCTAAAGTGCCTTTCTGTTGTTCCTATCTACTTTTCCCAAACCTTTATTTGAACTTTACACTTCAAATCCTAGAATTCAGTCAGTGCAGTGTGTCAACACTGGGTTTGACAGCTCTGAAACTAAGGTTTGGCCATATTAAAAAATTGATTACAGGCCCTCCCTGGTGGCGCAGTGGGTTAAAGCACAGCACTAAGAAGCTGAAGCCACTTCAGCATGAGTTCAATCCCCAGTCCTGGAGGTGTTCTACATGGCGCGACAGACCTCGCCTGATCTGCCTGCTGCTCCCCTCAGCAGTGTACTTCCTCAGTCGACTTGCTCTGCGCCCCACTCTGTCTCTGGTGAATCCTCTCACCTCTGCACCTCTGGCCTGTATCCCAATTCTGTATGCATAAATAAATAAATCTTTTTGAAAAAATTGATTATATTCCCAAGCAAAGTTTAGGGAAAGACATACAAAAATTACTTTTTAAAAGTCCTTCGTGGTCTTCTGGGTGGCACAAGGGAGTAAGTCTCACTACTACGAAGCTATCAGCATGATAGCTATCACAGTAGCATGAGTTTGATCCCCAGCCTGGGAGCTGACCCACATGGCACAACAGACTCCTGTTTCACCCACTGCTCCCTTCAGCAGTGTATTTCAGTACCCCTGCCTGTTCTGCACTCCAATCTGCCCCTGGTGAATCCTCTCACCCCCTCATACCTCTGGCCTGCACCCAGCTCTTGTATCCATATATAAATAAATCTTTTAAAAAAATCCTTCGTTTGCAACAAATCATAAGTGATTTACAACCCTACAGAATATGTGTGAAGTCTATACTATTTGAAGTCTATACACTTAAATATCAGTTGCACTTTATTGTTTGTTTAAACCTCAGTAAGTTGATTTCTGAAATGCTTAGACAGTCCGTGAATTTCTTTCATTCATTAAACAAATGTTTACTGAGGATCGAGTATATGTTATGTTCAAGGCATGGGGCATGTTTTTCCCTAAAACAAAGAAACCACCATCACTAAACCAGAAGAAGCCTTGCTCTCAGTGAGTTCTTCTTACTAAAGAAACATGTTAATTTGTATAATTATAAAAAGTGGTTGATGTTATAATGTGAGTTTTAGAAGGTAGAAGGATATATGGTGACTTGGGTGGACTGACTTAGTTCCTTAGTTCAGTTCCTTTTCAGACTTGTTTATGCTATTCCAAGTTGTTTGCATCTCCATACAAGTTTTTTAATCAACTTTTTTGATTTCTACATCAAAAAACTCTACCAGAATTTTCATGGAGAGTGCATTGAATCTAAAGACCAGTGGCAAGAAAATTGAAATCTTAACAACATTGACTCTTCCAATCCATGACTATAGTATATCTTCTCATTTATGTTGATTTTATTTCCTTCAGATGTGTTTTATGGTTTTCAGTGTACAAACACATTTATCTCATCAGATCCCATGTTTATTCATGCTGTTACGAATGGAATTTTCATCATTTCCACACACTGAATTGTTGCTAGTCAGTAGAAATAAAATTAATTTATGATTATTAGCCTTGTATTTTATGACCTTGCCAAAGTCACTTATTAGTTTTAGTAGTATTTTTTGTAGATTTTGGGATTTTCTACATAGATAAGCATGTAGTTTCTTAATAAAGACAGTTTCATTTCTTCTTCCTAGTCTGTAAGCCTTTAATTTCTTTTAATTGCCTTGTTTTGCTGACTGGTAATTCCAGTATGAATAAATGGGAATAGTTTGACATCGTCCTGTTCTCTAACATAAGAAGAAAGTATTCAACTTTTCTCCATTAAGTAGATCTGTAAGTTTTCTTTAAATGTTTTCTAACAGGTTGAGAAGCTGTTGAGAAGGTGTACTGAAATGTATAGCTATTTGTTGTTTTTATTTCCATTAAATTTTGAATTCATATTTTGAAGCTCTGTAATTAGGGGTATATGCTTCTAGGACTGGAGTATCTTATTGATAAGTTCATTGTTTATCATTATGAAATTTCTTCTTTATGTCTAGTTTTATTTCTTCTGAAGTCCACTATGCCTAATATTAATATAGTCATTTCAACTTTAGTTTGTCTATGTTTCCTTGATACATCTTTTTTCTATCCTTTTATTGTTAACCTACTTAAGTTTATAGTAGTTATTTTGTGTTTTTAAAAGATATTATCTTTGATGAATCATGCTTTTATTTAATCAAAGCAATCTTTGCCTTTTAACTAGTTTTTAGATTATTTCCAATTAATGTAAATTTTGATAAGGTTGGATTTAAATAGCTTCCAGGCTGCTGGTTGCTTTATTATTAGCTTTTCATATTTCTTGTTCTGATTGTTTTTTTCCATTTATCTATATTACAGCTTTATAGGTTTAAAAGCTGAAGCAGGCTTATAGGCTCTTTCCTTTTTAATCTCCTTTCTTTTTTGTAAATGAAAATTTTCTTTTTTCTTTTTTAGAACTGTGAGGACATGGGATGTCGAAAATCCAAAGAAACAAAAAAGTGTATTTAAACCACGGACAATGCAGGGTAAAAAGGTAGTTCCCACCACATGCACATACAGTAGAGATGGGAGCCTCATAGCAGCTGCCTGCCAGAATGGAAGCATACAGATCTGGGACCGAAATTTGACTGTAAGTGAAGGACATTTAAGTCCACCTTTTTAAAAAATTTAAGTGAAGACCACATATAACGACAGACATCATGTTAAAATATTATGAAGATCCATTTCCTGAGGTTAGCCCTAATTTAAACTTCATTGTTAGTTGCTACAACATTGGGACTTTTGCAGTAAACAGCATTGCAGCAAACATTTTAGTGCAGTATTTCCCAGTCCATATTAGATTTTGTTTTTGAAATAAATTAGATCTTTAGGTGTAAAATTAATAAGACATGGTTCAGTTTACTATAAGGTGTTTCTTTGTACTTGGTTTTCAAAGTATTTTATATTGATAGCAGTATAAAACAAGACTAAGCAGAGAACTAGAAATATCCTTTAAAAGATCAAAGAAGGCCCTCCCTGGTGGCACAGCATGTTAAAGCACAGCACAAAGAAGCTTAAACCGCTTCTGCATGGGTTCGATCCCCGCCTGCCCGGAGGAGATCCACACGGCGAGGCAGGCCTCTCCTGGCCTGCCCGCTGCTCCCCTCAGCAGTGTAATTCGTCGATCTGCCTGTTCTGTACCCCACTCTGTCTCTGGTGAATCCTCTCACCCTCTGCATCTCTGGCCTGTACCCCAGTTCTCTACGAATAATTTAAAAAAAAGATCAAAGAAAACTGTAAAATGTCCAGGATTACCCGTCAGTTGTTTTGCAATTATTCGCTAGTGATTCAATTAGTATCTTAACATTCTATGACACTCTATTTGAATAGGTTTCATACTTTACCTTTGGTTTAGGTCATTATTAAAACAGGTAAAATTTGGAATTGGAAGGGATCTTAGAAGTCTAAAATAATAAAAATAATTAATATGCAAGTTTTTGGTTAATCCTCTGAGTTATCCATAAGCTTAAGAAAGAGCTGTCTTTATATGTCTATATGGTAACATAAGAATTTTTGATAAGTAGAATGACTCGAGATTACCAAAGCTACAATGAAGATATTATTATTATGACAACTCTGTTCTAACAATGGAGAAAGAATACTATGCATTATCAAAAATTTCTGCCCTCATGGAGTTTACATTCTAGTTCTTTCATAAAATCATAAAAAATATATTCTTTCAAACAAAATTGCCCAGTAAACATGTGTATTTTGAAAGCATCTCCAACACATGTAATGCCTTCTCAGGCAGTTGAGTTAAAGTCATTGTCTTAAAATAAGGTAAAAAATAATGATAAGAAAAAAGAGTCTGTGTTGACAGTCCTGGAAATATGTTTGACAATTTATATTTGTCAGATCTTTTTATTTCTATTTTCATCTCTACTATAAACCCCATAAAGTTTCAGAGCAGTGCAGGGATTTTTGAAATCCTTGGAGTTATAAACTGAAATTTAATCAAGCAATAAATTTTCTAGTAACTGTCTTTCATCATCTCTGGGTGCTGTTGATTTAACATAGAAATTCTAAAATATGAAATTTTCTTATGTACCTTTAATAGTGATATGTTTGCTACTGTGTGTGTATGTGTGTGTGTGTGTGTAGCTGTCTTTCTCTTAGAACCCATATATTTTTATAAAGTTGAATATAGTTTTTAAGATAGGCCTTGCCTATCTCTTGAAATAATGGGTTTCTCCTATCTTTACTCTTTTAGAAAACAAGGCAATTTGAATGCTATTTCCTTTCCTCTCCTACCAAAACATTTTAAGTAATTCTTTAATAACAGTCTTTGTATTTTGTTAGAATTTAATAATAAATGAATGTATAGCCCATTATTCCACTTCCCATTTGCTAGATTTTCTTCATTTTTACCTTTGCTTGTACGTGTGTCACCTAAAGACAAATCAAATTAAGAAGAAAAAACTTCTGTTAGGAAACAGACCTTAAGGTACAGGGTATGAAGGAGAGAGACTACAGGAAATAGCCACAGTGGTAGCTTACAGTCATTGTAGCATAATCTTTAAATGTCTGTCACCACTGTCAGATAACCCATGTTAAGATTAGATTGACTTATGTCTTCTATACCTTTCTCTTTATTGGTATGTATATATACGGATTTAAATGTTACTTTTATAGAGAGAATTTTAATTTTTTCATTTTTTTTACTTAAGAGCATAATGTAGATACTTTGTAAGTGAATAGAATCACTTCTATTTTTTCAAAACTTTGTTATTTAAATGGAATCATCATTTTTCATTTATGAAATATATACTCTATTCATCATCTTATTCTATGTGATGTTGGTTTATATGTATCTATCTGAACTTTTCTCTTTGTGCTATCTCTAGTCAGCTAGCTACATTAGGAACATTTCAATTGGTATTTTCCAATACCTTCCCCCTTACTGAGGATGAGACAAGAAATATAAACCAAAAATAGTTTATAAAAAGGATAATTTGTAAGATAACTGGATGCTGCCTTAGGTGATGCCCAGAAGAAGGAAGAGTTAGAGTGCTAAAAGTGAGGTTTGGCATTCATAGTGAGGGTTTTGGGAAATGGGGATTTAGATAACCAACAGGATTAGTCAGGACTGCAAGCTTAACAATATTGATCTATTACCAAATAAATCAGAAACAAAAGTTATTTTGTATTAAAGCAGCCACAGTGAAAGTCTCTTGAGATTGCTGCTTCACAACACAATTTGCATTTGTTGTAAAGTCACCATCAACATCATGGGTGTTTTGTGGGGAGGGGTGGTGGCACCTGAGTTTCCGGACACCACTATATTGCTTAAATACTGGCGGAAATCTTTTCTTACAGTTGGACCATATCTGCTCTGCCTTGTGTTTTTAAGATTTTTTTTTTTTATGTTAAAAAATTTGCTTTCAGTAGTGTTTTCTGTTAATTTCCATAATGCAGCTTTGATCTTCCTTTTCTCACACCTCAAATAAATTAATCCAAGTCAAATTGGCATTCTATTTATTAACTGTATTCTGGAATAACTTTTTAATGGGGAATGTTCATTTCCTGTTCCTGCTTTTTGCTCATTGTTATGAAGCTATCATAGCAATGGAAAATAAAAGCAATGTTTACTTTTACGGAGTTTCAGACTTTGGTCAGTTAGTGGCCTGAGAGACTGTGAGTGAGAAGAAAGGCTTAATTTGTAAAGGACGGCTCTTAATATGCACCTCATCTTATTTAGACCAATTAGAACAAGATTCCCCCTTAGATAGCCTATCAATCTGTTTATATTACAGACTTTGGAGATTTTAAAAAGAATTATGCTTTGAAATTTTTTTTGACATTTAATATTTTGCGCTTAATTTTGACCTTGCTTTATGAACTTTGTTGTTTGTTCTACAGTTTTAAGGTTGCTTAACATTTTATTACATAGTTATTTATCATTTACTGTTGCCTGCAAATGTGAATAGCATATTTCACTTTAAAATTTTCCCTTGAGATTATCTAACTAGAAATAATTGCACTTAGTTTCATGTGTGAATGCGTGTGCATCTGTCTGTCTGAGGAACTTACCCACTTTAATTCTCAATCTTGGTAGGAAAGCTTTTAGAGGTCTGATTTGTCTGTAGTCTTTGGTTGCCCTTTATTTTCATGACACTAATGTCACTAACGCACTTACATGTGTTAAACAAGACTTTTCAATGACTGAGACTGTGTTTCAGTCAAAGCTAATAATGCTCTCCTTCAGTACTTCTTTCCACAAAGAATTTACAGCTGTTACCCCAATATTAGTTCAGATTAAAGCAATGGAATATTAACTACAAGGTGTGGACAGAGAAGATACTACTAAGGAAAACATTTTATTTTTTAAACTCAAATATAAAAGTTTCTAATAATTTCTTTTGAGAAAAAAATGGTGTATTTCTAGAAAATATAAAGAGCAACACTAAAAATCCAAACACAGACTTTTCTTGTTTTATTACACCCGGTACTGGGAGTACAGGAAACTATATGGACTGCTAAAATTTTAATGCACAGTTTTTTAGCACATTTTGTTAGTGGAACCTGAGACTTGCAGTTACATTATACACTACTTGGGGGCTTTCTGCCATTTATTTCTGAGTTTTGTAAACTATATCTTGTTTATTTTCTTCACCTCCCCCCTTAATATATTTCAAACCCCTAGAATGAGTCTTGCACATAACAGGCTCTCAGTAACTGTTGATCTCCTTCCTCCTTTTTTTTTTTTTTAAAGCTACTATGTGATTTATGGTTTTTGTTGAATAGTGAAGTTAGAACTAAAGATACTTTTTAACTCTCACTGTGAAAGCGTCATGAATCTGAGTTTTAGCAAATTCCTTGGTGACTAAAGGTGTGGCTGAGGGAGAAAAGAATGTATATTCCTCCTTTAGCCGGTCTTTCAATATATGAAGATACAACCACCATCAATAAATAAATGCCATGTGCCCATTGGTTAGCATGTGCTTGATGGAGGTATTATAATTACATTTTACCAACATTCAAGAGAAAACATATGACATACAAATTGTTCTGTAGTGTTTTTGACATGCATATTTTTTAAAAAAGTATGTCACCAGAAGTATGTCATTGATTCAAAACACAAGTAACATCAAAACTATGCAAAATTACTTGCAGGCCCTAAAGTTAAGTTCTAATTTGTCAATTATTTTAATGGAAGCTTTAAAGTTATACTTATAATGCTCTTGTGAGATGTCATATGCTGTCGGAGCCAACATTTTTAAATGAGAAAATACTGGTTTTTGGAAAAGTTAGGTTAAAAGGTTTTCCTTTAAGTACGAGGATTATTATATTTGTTTTGTGAGGTCAAGAATAATGGGATAACTGAATTTATAACTTCCTTTTAAGCATGGTGACTTAAACACATTCATTTGTCTGTGCCCTCCTGAAATCTCATGAAAATGACAGGAGAGTCATTTAAAAAAGCATAAACCCACAGAAATAAAGAAAATTAGAGAGGAGCTGACAGCAGAAGAGAAGTCAAGATACTTTTGGAAGCCGGAAACCAGATAGATGCATAAATGGAACTGACTTAGTTAACTAGTGAACACTAAGCCTCCTCCAGCCTGGGGGAGCGCGTCAGACAGTGATTTA